GTTCAATAATTATAATTAATTAATTAATGCAATGTGAAATCTCATTTTGTCTCTTGTAGGAACTCTTCCGTACGCCTGGGACAGTTACAGGAAGCGCTCAGCGAACAGAAATCCTCAGTGAACTCTCTCACAGCAAAGTAAGAGGAGTTTAAATCACCCTGAAGCTGGGATTTAATGAGTGTGTGTGTGTGTGTGCGTGCGCGTGCGTGCGTGTGTGTGTGTGTGTGTGTGTGTGTGTGTGTGCGTGTGCGTGTGTGTGTGTGTGTGTGTGCGTGTGTGTGTGTGTGTGTGTGTGTGTGTGGAGATTGCTAAAGCGAAGCGTTCGGTCGTGTGTCAGGCTGCAGATGATGGAGGCAGCTCTGGCTCTGGCGGAACAGAAAGCTCGGGATCTGAACGAACTTCTCACTCGAGTGAAGCTGGAGAAGAACGAGCTTCGAGAGCGGCACGCCAGGGAGATCAAGAAGGAGCAGGAGGTATTCATTAATGAGTTACATGAGAACTTTGAGCTGCATGTTTAAAATAAAAATGTACAGTACAGTGGCATCCCGAGATATCCCAGTGGTAAGATATGAAAAACACCTGGAGTTCTGCTCTATCATCCGCTTGTTGAGTCTGATGTGCTGCGCTTCCGGGTCCTGGCGCTCCATTCTCCCATTGCAGACAGTGCTAAAGGGGCCGATGGGGCTTTAAAACACTTTAAATCAGTTTTAAATCGAGCGAAACATTTTTATGTATAGATTACCAATAATGTGCTACAACAAATCTTAGTCAAAAGTTATATTACGTATTTTGCTTGTGTTTTATTATCATTTATTACATTAACATTGTGTAGATTTAAGGATTGAAGAAACGTTACTTGATTTTTCTCTGGTTTTCCATTTTTTCATCTACTTCTCTGTTGTTTCTGAGAGCCGCTGCACGAATTCAACGTTTTACATGAAAAACTTGCTTCGAGATACGAACGTCACCCTGGAACAGATTAGTTTTGTATCTTGGGTGTAATTAAAATTAATATAAATATTAAAAGCAGAGATGGATTTGATCATTTAATAAAATTCTTACTGAACAATTTACTGTAATTTTAATTCAGAATTTATGTTTTTTTTTTAAGAAAAGAGTTAAATACATTCATAACAATAACAGCATGCATCTTTCTCAAAATGTTGTTTTATTAATTTTAAATGCTTTCCTTGTCGGTTGTAATCACTTGTTGAAAATATTAGGGATTGCATCTTCAGATTATTTTTCCTGTACTTTTTATCTTAGATATTATTTTAGATAAATACACGGCACTCCATTGACTTCTCCATAACTTTTCCATAGCAACCAATTTGACATCTCCATCTCAACTTGTCAGTCATGGAGACGTAGGGGTTTGCTTATTCTACTGTCATATCCTCCATAGCAACTAAACTTTTTACCCTAGCAACCACATCAGCAGATCTATACGCTCAGCTTCAGAAAATGCTAGCGACACAGGTCATGATGTATATACCTCATAGTGAGATGGGTGACGTATTGATTTCTGCCTAGCAACCAGCTTGTTTACCATAGCAACTGTTTTAAAAGATCTATACCTTACTCATAAAAATAAAACCGTACAAAATGTTGTTTTGTCATTTATAAACTGCTTTTCTCATTTAAAAATCAACTTCTTTCCTGATGATTATCATAACCACTTGTTGAAATTTGCATCTTCAGATTATTTGTCTTGTATTTTTTTATCGTAAATGTAAATTTTATATAAATAAATGGTATCTGGGTAGCACTGTGGCCTTCCAGTTAGAAGGTTGGCAGTTGCCTGGTGGAGCTTTGCAGCCCATCAAAAGTTCCTTCTCTATTTATCTACAAAGATCATCATTATTCTGGTTTTTCGACAGGACGCGGCTCTGAGGGAAACGAAGCACCTGAAGGAGACGAACGGTCTCTCGGAGAAGATTCTGCTGCTCCGAAACAAGGCACAAAAGCAAGCACTCATAACTGAAAGCACATCTCCTGCGAGAAGATCTCACGCTGCGTTTCCTTCCCACAGCTGGAGGACAGTGAGCGCAGATGCAAAGCTCAGCAGGACCAGATCTTCGAGCTGAAGCAAGAGCTCGCGAACAGCACGGCGGAGCTGAAGCTGCGACTCGCACAAACCGAAGGTATCCCGACCGCTTAAAAACATCAACGTCGCGATGAAATACGCTAAACTGTTTGTTTGGGTTTGTTAGAACGACTGGAGCTGGAGAAGAGACGATCTAAGCAGACGCTCGAGGATCTGGACACTTTACGACAGAAGGAGGTGAAGATGTTCCTCGTTTATTCTCCTTGTGTGAACCTTCTGTTCAATGCAGCTAAAAACTAGAGAATGTTGTGGTTTTCAGGTGGATCACCTGACGCGCCACCAGGAGGACAGTGAGCGAGCTCTTCAGGAACGCATCCTCAAACTCGAGGGACAGCGCATTCAACTCGAAGAGGTATTTGAGGATGAATCAAACACCACGAAGCATGGTTTAAACATTTAGTCAGGAGGGCTCCGTCCCGGTATTGGCCCAAGTTTAGTAAAAGAACATTTCAGGTTGACTGTAGATCAGGGGTGCTCATTACGTCGATCTCGAGGAGGTGCTGCCGGTCGATCACAGCGTGAAATTGAAACAATATCAGCCGATCCTCCATCCCGTCACAGTTCAGTGAAGTTATCTGTTCACGGATTCGGTTTTCTCTGATCAATAGCTGGAGACCAGAATGTTCTTAGTAAACAAATAATAGCTATTTTTAATCTGTGTTATGTAGCGGACAAACTACAAAACGTTTTTTATCAAAACAAGTTTCATTCGCAGAAACACATTACCGTCTATGAGCAACCCGCTGACATGGAATCGCTTAGGGACCGTCTGCAAATGACCAGATCCAAAATATGTTTTACCCAGAATATGCTTCATAACTTCATTCTAAATAACTCTATTACAACCAAAATCAAGCAACACGCCACTCCTCACCTGAATACTGTACTGCACCACTCAGTTTCAATAAAAAAACTAAAATATTTATTAGAGCATCATTTTTATTCTTGATTATTTGGATCAGTTGCTCCCATAAAAATCACTCTATTAGCATCAATTCAGGTCACACACAACTGTTCTAATGATTCAATTCAGTGCAAGTCATCAAATTAAACTCACGTTATTACAAAAAATGTAAATACCGTAATTTAATATTATGTGTGTTTTGTCAATTCTCAATAAAGTTGAAAATAATTGTTTGTTTGATTTGATTACATTTTTGTAGCGGGTAGATCACTTTGACTCTGTCATTTTAAAAGTAGCTCGCAAGCTGAAAAAGTGTGAGCACCCCTGCTGTAGAAGATTCAGGGGGAAATAATACATTTGTGAAAAGATCTACGCCTGTCCACACGACCGCGGTTATTCTGAAAACAGGGATTTGTTTCGTCTGTGTGTGTGGGGGGGGTCCATACAGAAACGCAGCATCTTTTTCGTATAACTGCACTTTTTTAAAAATGTGCATTGAAGTTAAATGAAGTTGACTGACACACATCTGCCCTTCTTCTACTTATCCTGAGGGAGAGACATGCAGCAGGCTCTCTCTCTCTCAGGAATCTCTGCATGTGTCTCCCTCAGGATAAGCAGAAGAAGGGCAGATGAGTCCTGGTTGTGATGTAACTTCCTGTTTATGGTGCAATTTCCTGTTCCATCTCACAACAATAAGATTCACAATTATTTTTCTATTATAATTTACTTTAAAATCACTTACTTTAATAGGTTTCCACACGTTGTGAGTGCTGTGAATGTGTGGTAATTGATCAGAGCTTCTAAAAGTGTTGTTCAGCTGTATTACACAAGTGCGTGTCTGTTTTTCCGGATGTTGCAGGAGCTGAGTCGAGTGAGGAGCAGTCTGGTGACGGAGCGAGCGCAGGCACAGGAGGAGCTGGGGAAGGTTCGAGCGCAGGTGCGACTGGAGGAGGTACGGGACCGTTTCTCTAAACATTGTCTGTGTCCACCACAGCTCTGGATGAACGGCTATAAGTTATAAAAACAACTTAAGTTATAAATAAATGTGCTCATTATGGGGACATGAGAACCCACAGCACCGTGGACCCTTTCCGGGAGCACTGTAAACCATGTCACTTCCTGTGTAGCAGCAGCACGTGAGCAGTCTGGAGGAGAAACTACGAGCGGTCCGTCAGTCGAGGGATGAGTCTCAGAACCACTGCACGCAGCAGAAACAGAGCATTGCGGAGCTGCAGGGACGAGTGGGTCAGCAGAGCATTGAGATAGACGCTCTCCGACGACACATCCAAGAGCTTCAGCAGGTGAGCAAACTCTCCACAAGATATTATACAACCAGAAGGTTTCTTTCTGAGATGCTGCTCCAACCCGTTCAGTCCAGATGGGGTTTTCACCAGTTGTTGGTCTGGACATTCCTCCTGTTGTCTATTCCACCAACAAGAACTCCACCAAAGATCGTTCATCTAAGAACTTGGTTCTACCACTAAGGGACTAGAATGTCATTTTGGTCAAAATATTAATTTCTTGAAATTTGGGCCATTGAAAATGTGTGAGGAATTTAGAAAAGACGTATATTTTAAACTACGTGGGTCTATTCCACCAGCTTTGTTACATTTTGGATATCCTGACCAGATTTTAGATTAAAAACTACAACTAAAAAAACTTTCAAGTGGATTTATTTTTGTCATTTTGGTCAAAATGTAAATTGAAATTTTCAGCCAGTGAAAGGGCAAGAGATGTGGAGTTTGTATGCTTTTATCTTGTCAAGAAATGGAGATTTGTTTGTCCCGCTTTCAAACAACAGAGGTCAATTCCAGGATTTTGACCATCCAGATCTTAGGTTCTGGAGGAGATATTAATATAAATACTACATGTATGTTTTTGTCTCCAGAAGCTCACTCAATGATCCAAGTTTCGAGAAATGTGGAAAAATGTACATTTCCCCAAACCGCCATACTAACCACTTTCCTCTAAGAGGAAAGTAAAAACAGTTTTCCTTTGGCTCAATCAGTAGAACATTGTGCTAACAACGCTAAGGTTGTGGGCTCAAACCCCAGGGAAAGCCATGTGTTTATTCCTTGAGATGTCAGTCACTTTGGATAAATGTAAATTTCGCGTAGGTTTTATGATCTTATCTCATCTATATGGATAATTGGGTGTCCCACCTTCAAACTATGGGTTAATTCCAATTTTGTTGTATGCTGGATGTCCAGGAGGAGACATCACCATAAAAATGACCAGTCTGTTGTAGTCTCCTCGCGCTCACACAATGTCCCAAATTTCAAGAACTTTTAAGAAATTTATCTTTTTACCAAAACTACCCGGTATATACTTACCCTTTTGTGGAGTTTATGGCATTAAAAAAATCAACATACTTTAAAGTATGTTTTTGTTTAGTTTAAAGAGGAGGTCCATTTTATTCATTTTATACTAGGTCCAAAATGGTATGCGTCAATTTTGGAGAATAAAAAAACTAAACATGTATTAGCACAGGAGAGCTACATTATATCTATGAATAACAGAAAACGTATTAAAACACTTACCATTAAAACAATAACGCCATCGAGACGGTAGATGGACTAATACATGATTTACATTTATGCATTTGGCAGAAGCTTTTATTCAAAGCAACTTACATTTTAATGGATGCACACATTTTTTATCAGTTCTGTCACTAGTGGACAAGAGAATCTGTGCGTTCTGTAAACAAACTTTCAACACTACAAAAATAGATGGTGAGAGACACTTTCTGCGTGAATGCTTTTTGTATGAAGATCTACAGAGAAAATATCTGAATGATTCTGTGCTTACTGGTGAAATATGTGATGACATATAGAGGCTCAGTGGCCCTGTATTCTCCATGAATTTTGCTTTTTTTGAGCTCTATGGATTTAAGAAAAGACTATTAGTAATGCAAAATCAATATTGTGGAACTATGGGCCGAGTGGCCATTTATTCCTGAAAAAATAAACATGACATGACAGGCCCAGACTCGAAGATGCATGGAGTTTTCAGCTTAAAATCTAGACGACCAAAATGTAACAAAATAGTAATAGACCTCCATTGAAATATAAACATAAAAATAAAATGTTTTAGTTTCCTCCCACTAAAACACGCACGCATGAACACACACACGCACATCGTTCGGCTTAAAATCTGGTTCAGAGCCTAAGAACTTGATGTCTGAGCTGTTTGTCCATATTAAAACAGTTTCAGCCCCTTACAGACTGTTATATACCTTTTTATTAATGAACTCTTTAAAGGAAATATTACCATTTTGTTTCCAGGATCTAGCAGGTAAGGAACAGCAGAAGCTGGCGGAATTGTCTCGGGTTCGCGTGGAGCTTCAGGAACAGATCGGGCATCTGCAGGCTGATCAGGCGGCACAAGGAAGCTTGAAAGAGAAGATGGCAGCTCTTCAGAGAGAGAACAAAGGTATGTTTATCTGAGTTTGTCTCTATAGTGAGCGTTGATGTGGGTTCAGATGTTAGTAATGTTGTAACAGATAAATAAAGTATAATTAAAGTTATTGATAACATACCTGATTGCCACGGAAAAACATAAAGAGGCAGAGGCTTTTCTCCTAACACCTTGATGTATTGCATTTTCAAACAACCAGACATTGCAGTATGATAGCGCCACCCACAGGAATGAGTAATCACAGCTAGCACCATACATCCATCTGTGCATCCATCTGTTGCAGCTCTAAGCGTCTCTCACCGGGAGGCTCTTCTGGACAAAGACAGCGAGATCTCTTCGCTGTTGGAGCGCCTCCGGATCAGAGAGAGTGAAATCCAGCGAATGCGTGACGATGAAGCACAGAGAGCCACGTTTCTACAGAATGCGGTCCTCAGTTTCGTCCAGAGCTCGCCTCGTGCACACTGCACTCCTCAGAAGTGAAGACCAGAAAATTGATCTGTGTTGAATACGTGTAAAATATCAAACATAGAGATGCTTTCAACAGATCTCCTGCAAAAGTTCTCTTAACTTTTACAAACATTGTCTTATGTCAAATAAAAAAACTGCATGGAGAGTACTTTTTAGAGCTTTGAAATTTTAAAAAGACAATGTGTACAAATCACATCAGGGAACTCAACGGCTGTGTTTTTAACATGATGGATTTCTAATAAACAATCTGTTTTCACAAAGATCTGTGTTTTAATGTAAAGTTGAGGCTGAGCACTGGTTGGTACCTTTATTGGACATCTCCATTGGGTTTGGGTCAAGTTTTGGGATGACAAGAAGCAGGTTTTAATCTGCCAAACACATGGCATAAATTCATTAAGGCATGTAGATATGATCAAGACTTTCTGAGATGGTTGAACATGAGCACCTTTGGGATGTGGTAGAATGGGAGATTTGCATCATGGTTGAACAATCTGCCATAAAATATTGAGGCAGTTCTGAAGGCAAAAGGGTTTCGACCCAGTGCTAGCAAGGAGTACTTTATGAAGTGGCCGGTGAGTGTTTACTCTCTTGTTGCAGGAATCCAACGAGTAACTAACTAAACAGAAACACATAGTTAGAAGTAGCCTCTAACCTCAGATGGTCAGTTCATCACTAACACAAAGAATACAACAAAAACAACGTTCGATGAAACCTGACAGCTAGCTGTGTGGCCATTTCCCTGGTGAAACAAAAATGTAATGCTACAAACCACCAGTAAAGCACCACCACACTATCACATCACCTCCATGCTTCACTGAGAGAAACATGCATGAAAAGATCCATTCACCTTGCTGTGTTAAACACACACACAAGACAAGTACTTTTGAATCGTATTACTATATTTTTATTTGGTCATACATTCTTCCCTCTGGACGTGGAAATATTACAAATTTATTGAAGTTTTATAATAGCTTATTTATTTTAAGCGTTATATTTTTCCTGTATCTCTACTTTTAAGACTGTGAAACTACAACCTTTTTATTAAAAATAACACACCATTTTCACTTTACCTCATCATATTTTTGTTGTATAATATCGATATAATTTTAGTAATTTAAATGGTTAATATTTAAATATTTAAATCACAAAAAAAAGTGTGAGGTAAAGATCTCCACCGTGAATCAAGCGCCATTTTCGACTCATTTTCGCACTGTCTCTTTAAATGTTTTCGGCTCTTTCCGGCGAGACTCGCTACTGCTCGTCATTAGACCCGCTGCTGCAAAGAGCAGAGACCGTATTTCTCCTCACTTCTCACATTTTTCGGTTTTAACCGGAGCTGTGTCACAGTAAAACACATCCACGCGTGTGAAGGGAAGCAAGCTGCCTCTTCGCAAATGCAAGCTATTAAATGCGTGGTGGTGGGAGACGGGTGAGTGCAGTTTTCCGATATGATGGAGAGGGAGCATCCCTGGAAAACCAGTCTGTGCGCTTGTGCAATGTGTTGATGCTACGTTTGGCCTGTGTTTCTTTTCGTGGTCAAAACAAGTCTTTTGTGCTTTGAAACACGTGTATTTACGCTCGGCGTATTTCAGTAGCGAATATCATCTTCGTGTTTATCGATGAGGGTTACGCGCTGTTCACAACGTGAGGAATTCATGGTCGGTTCATGTCATCGAAGAATGTGTTTATACATCATCGCTTCGCGTTTCTTCACTCTGTTTTGAAGAGTAGAGAGTATTGAATGGGAACTGCGGTAAATGTGACTCTGACCACCCCGTGGCGAGCGATAAAACCACGGAGTAGAAAACGCTCCGGTTACCACTCCCTCTGTCGCCGCGCGTGCACGTGAGCGAGACTCCCCGGCTGAGCGATTCAGATCTGAGTCGATTCAATAATTCGGCTCTTTTGAACAAGCTGTTTAGCGGATAGTTACTTTATTATGACGTTCAAATGGTTCGTTGTAGCTTAAGAAATTAAATTTAATGGATATATTTTATTATTGTTTTTTTTTTGTCGTCATATTAGTATTTTAACAAATTATATTTTATCATTTGAATTATGTTTCAAGTTATTCTCATTTGTTAGAGTTTTTTAATTATTAGTGTAATCATTTTATTTGTATGGTAACATTTTCATTATCATTTTAATGTTATTAAATTCATTAAATTATAATATCATCATTACATTTATTTTTGTGCTTTTAAAATATATTAGATATTTGTTTGATATTGTTATCAGTAGTTCATCAATATTATCATTATATATTTAATTTAACACATTTAATCATTTTTATATCTTCCTTCATCCAAACTTAATACCCTTTATTCCATTATTATGTTTTAATCACTTTTACAAATAGTATTTTAACAAATTTAATATTATTCTTTATGACTTCATCTTTCTTCAAAAGTTTTACAATAATTACGTAATATAAAAAAAAAATATTGTTATTATTCATACTGGAAGTAATATTTAACATATATTTTAATTCCATTAGTGTTATTAATATTATTATATTTATAATGTTTAAGTTCCGTTAAACATTATTTTAAAAATATGATTACATTTATTAAATTGAATTATTATTTATATTATTAATATTTTAGCACATTTAATAATATTCCCATCATCATTCCACATCTAAATGTATTGTATTATTATTGTTTTCAACATGTTTAATATTATTATTTGCTTCATCCTTCACCTAAATATTACATGTATTATAATAATTTCTTAACTTTGATTATATTTACTATTTGTTTTGATACATGTATTATTTATTTGTGTTATTGAAGTAATTGCCTTATTGTTATTAATAGTAGTTGTAGTATTTAAACATTTTTATAAAATTTAAATGTAAGTCCTTCCTCAAAATATTAACACAACAAAACAAACCGAATATCATTATTTGTATTTTAAAATAAAAGTAATCATGGTTTCGATTCGTTCACTGGTTCATTGTTGGAGTGTGAGAGTGTGAGCTGCCGCCGGGGGCGAGTGTGAATCTGGGACAGGGTCTGGGTCACTATCTGACACACTAACACTCACACGGGGAGAGAGAGAGAGAGAGAGAGAGAGAGAGAGAATAAGGGCAGCACTAACCACTACACTCTCGACCGTTTTCACGTGTGAACCCTCGTTATTGATTTGATCACGACCGTACCAGCTGTTCTAA